ATTAATAATCAGTTATTAATAGTAGTATATATTCACACTTTTTTGTATAAACTCAACCATTTAGCATTACATCTTACACAGTATATATAGGCATCTGGACTTTTTAATTGAAGAGCATGTGTAATATGAATAACTTACAGTTTCAGTTCACTTGAAGTTGAAGCAGTCACTTCTATCATGGTTTGCAATTTATCTATTATACATGCTCTATTGTGATTTTTTGGTTTCTCTATTATAGCCTTGTACCATATTTTGTTTGCAGGTCATAAAATAAGCAAACTAAAACACAATGGATTTCTATTATTAGAAATGAATACCATTTTAAAGACAAAAGGAAGTGAAAACATTGTTTTTTTCTGTTTATTTCTTATTTCTTTAAGGGAACTAAGGGTGGTGCAAGGTTAACAAGGGCCCCACACACAGTGAAAATATCATCAAGTTGATCAACCATTGTTAATGGGACTCTAGTGCTAAGAATTCTGAAATTCTTTATTCTCCCTATGACTCTCTCAATGTGAATTCTAGCTTTAGCGATACTTGAAGTATTTATTACARTACTCTTAGAAAACTGAGACTGGCCTCTCTTAAAGGGAGGAATGACAAGCTTGACCTCTTTGGGAAGCAYTATATCCTGTATGTTAAACCCTCTGTCTGCCATACATACATCATTCTTTTCAAATTTGTTGATGATTCCACAGTCCTCTACAATCTTTCTATCTGAAGCCAATCCACCTTGTCCAGGGGCAATGAAGGATATTACTCCAGCAGGAGTACAGGCGACCTATAATGAAAGATATTTACTATGAGCTATATGTGATTTAATATATTATTCTATGTTATTTTAATTGTTTACAAAGTTCAATATCTATTAAATGAATTTACTACCTGTTTGTACTTTTGGATACAAAATAACAATTTCTTAAATATTAATATATACTAATTTACTAGTGCTTAACCAGTTATACGTTAGTTCATATTAGTGACTAGCACTTAACCTTGGAACAATAGTTGAATTCATAGAATAAATACTCAAGAGACTTACACTGCTATTGTTCTACAGTTGAGTGCTAGTACATATTTCACAGACTTGGTGTTTGTACTCTATTATAGTAAGAATTATTAAATTACTCACCAGTGTTTTCCATGTATTTGTACTTTTGTAGTTGGAATATGTCAGAGCTTGGGCTTCAGACAGGGAGGGCCTCTGAATATATACCTCTGTACAATCAATGACAGCTTTCACATTTGGGTGGTTCTTAAAGCATTCAGGATAAGACAACTTGTTTTCTGCATCAGTTGGCCAATATATTAGTGATGACATCTCTTTTGAAAGGAAAGCAAACCAAGTTGGCAATATTCTACTGACTGTTGCCTGAGATACTTTCATTCTAAATGCTAAATCTTCTTCAGATATGCCTTGCCTTAAACGTACTAGAGTCATGAAAAATTCTTCTTCAATAGTTGTTCCTCGTTTAGGCCCAGGCTTCTTGCAATCAGCTTTAAGTTGGTGTTGCTTAGTTGTATGTGACTCAGAACCTCTGACATAATGTAATCTTTCTGCTTTTTCTCTCAACTTATCAGCTAGTAAATTAAACACCTTGGCATTTTGCAGTCCAGTATACATCTGAACCAACTTATCAGAATGTTGTATATCTTGAATAGAAAATTTTTT